TAGAGTGTCCTCCTTCAGGTGAAAGAGTCAGATGTCTATTTGACTGGATAGTCATGTGTAAGTGCTTTTATTTAAGTGCATTTGATAATTTATTACTTATTAACAGAATAGGACACTTTTTAAATATTGGGAAAAGGTAAAGGTTCCAAAAATCACTGAAATGCAATCATAATTCTTTTCCTTTTTGGTCAGCTGCAAAATAATAAAGATGTTTTCATTGTTCTGAAATGAGGTATGTGTTTTTCAAGACTTTCTAACGATACTCATTTTCCACTCTTGGCTCCTGAAATTCTAGGTCAAACCTATTAACATCTGTGAGGTTCTGTGTAACTTAGATGGGGTTTCAGGGAATGCAAAATTGGTAACTCAGATTCACCATATGTTCAGAACAGAGCAGGTAACTGTACAGTTCCATGTAAAGGAACAGCTCTGAAATAATTTAGCACAGTATTGAAAGAAGGGAAGGAAAGTTTTCATCAGAAATCTCATTCCTTTCAGAGAAGCTAAAAATAAGTAAGTTAGTGATGAAAGGAACCAGGAAAATGTCTTGCTAAGGGCTGATACTGGCTTTTCATAACAGATAATAAAGAAGAACTTCATTTCTGTTGTGCTTGAATGTGTCACCATATCCACTTTCGTTTCCATAGGACTGTTTATCTACTTTCACAATAAATGATAGTTTTTATTCCTTTACAAATGTTACACATGTAGCACACCCATTTCCATAGATCACGATAAAATACCAAAAGAAGAGCAGTTAGGTGCATGTTAGACTGAAAGACTGGGTATGCATACATAAGGGCCGCTCTGAAAGAAACGCCTCCTGTTTTATTATGTTGGCCCACAACATGAGAGGAGGATGTTGATGGTACGGCAGTACAGGCTGAACCTTCCCAACAATATTCTGTTACATTTTGCTACTGTGCAACAGGTGGCTGCAGAGGGGCAGTCCGACACAGTGGCATTTGATATGGAAGTATGTATGAAACAAAGGGGTGGAACTGAATTCCTCCATGCAGAAAAAATGGCACTGATTGGCATTCATCAATACTTGCTGAACATTTATGAAGACCAAGGATGTGAGCCCAGTGAAACAGTGGGTGCTGCATTGTGGGTTTCAGCAGTGGAGAAAGCAACAGTGGGTCACCTCCAGTGGTGCAGATTTTTGAGTGCAGCTTGCAGGCTCTTGTTCATCTCCAATGAAAATGCACAGCTAATGGTGGTGACTATGTTGAAAAACAGTGTTTTCTAGCTGAGAACTTTATGAAAATGTGTTATTGTGCTCTTTGTATCTCTTGTGGTTCCTACGGAAATAAATAAGAGGCATTATTACTTTCAGAGTGACCTAAGTATATGCGTGTGCAACTGTGTTTAGGGGCTTTTTACCACACAAGGTGTTATCCAACATTATACCAATTTTTCTGTAACTTTAAATAAGCCAAAATTATATAGTAAGAATATAGGACAATCATAAATATCTTGAAATTTATTTCCCTTGAGGGAAAAAAAATAAAAATAAAATTACTTAATAGAATTTCACCATCCAGAATACTTGCTTCCATGCTGGCTTCCATCAAAATTAATTTGTTATGGCACAAGGATGAAGTTCCCACAGAAATTCAGGTACCAGACTGATGCTGTAATTGTCTCTTCATTTCTTCTAAGATAAATGCTTTTCAATTCCACTTCTACTGAATGTTATAGCACTTTTCCACAAAGAACAGCAGTTAATACACTTTTTTAAAAAAAATTTAAATAGAAGTATAGTTGCATTAAAACTGATCACAGTCAATTTGAGGACAAAATACCGGCTGGCATAGGAATGCAGCACACCAGCTGGCACTTTATCCCATACTCACTGGGGTCTGACTTGATTCACATTTGATTAGGCCTCTGGAGATTTCAATATCCTCTAATTTGTCATCTATTAAGTGTTGCATTTATCACCAATGAGAACAAAATCAACCTTTCTTCCTCTGTCCTTACTACTTCTGGATATACTAATGTACAGAAGGTAAGAAGAAAAAACAGTAGTGGGGTATGTCAATCTTATTTGCCAAGATTTCTGTACAGGGGATTTGGTGTATTTTGTGGTTCCCATTACTGCTCAAAGTCAGCATATCTACCTTTTATCAAAGTCAAACTAGTCTTTATTTACAGTTTATCTGGTTCAAAAATAAACGCAACCACAAGCTGTTACAAGCTCCTCACACATGATAATTGTTACTTTGCAAAACTTTGCCTTGGTCATCCACCTTTTCCTTTATTCACCCTGAAATTCTCACCTAACCTGAAGATGAAGAGGCAAAAAAGCAGGCAGAAAAGTTCACTGAGGCCCAACAGTCATTGCAGTCTACGCTCCCACTTAAAAAGAGCAATGATTTTTTTCTTTTTTTTGCATTTATGTGCTTGGAGATAAATCCCAACAGTGTGGAGCGTAACATTCACTGCTAAATATGCAGCTTTCAGTTGGCAAGCTGCTGAATGGCTCTCACCTCTGATCCTCCACCTCACAATGAGGGGCACCAGAAAGAACACTATTAAGAGACATGAAACTATTTGCAGGTGTGGATTTTTTGTTCAACAGATCAGGAATGTTTTTCTTACGAATCTATCCTGAAATTTACAAATTAAAATGGTTTTAACATACACTCTAAATCTAATAACTCCCTCAGTGAGGAGCAGCTAAGACAAATTCCTCTGTTCCCTGATTTTTTCAAATATTTCTTCTCTCACAGAATAATATATATGCACCTGATGTTTGATTCAAAGCCCACTGGAGATGCTACTGCTCTTGCAAAGGTGTGAGAGAGAAAGCATGAAAGAAACCCTTTTTAAAGCACATCCCACCTTTCTTCCTCCCCCCCCCCCCTTCCCATACACACACAGTTTATCCAGTAGGTCACTGCTTGTCTTCTGAATGCTGGAAATGGACAGGCTGCCTCAGCCCAGCTTACAACAGTCTCTATGAAGCTCTGCCAGACCATCTGGGGGTTCTCCTCAGCCCCTCTCCTCCTGGGGGCACCAACTAATCGAATTTCAGCCTATAGCCTCCATCCCATTTCTTGAGGCTGGAGTCATACAATCTGCATTCTTTGCACATCAGGCAGCTTTGCTGACATTCCTAATTCCTCAGAAAACTCAGAAATACTCAGAGAGCAAACAGCACAATTTGTCAGCACGATATGAGGGGGTTTTTTCAAAGGCAATTTGTGAAGTATATTTTAGGGAAGCTAATGTGGGGGAAAGGAAATTTTATGTTGCTGTGGCAACTCAAGCAAAAAAAAAAAAAAATATTCATGCTGCAGCACCTATGTTCAGAGCAGTTTACTCTTAAAATACCATTGATTTCTTCAGTGAAGGAAAGCAATTGACCAATTTTACAGTGGCTGCCTGCTGCTTCCCAAACCAACAGCGTTAAAAGTTCAGACTAAAACAAGGCTCCTCTCTAGCACAATTATTTGAGGCTTTTCAAACAAGGAACCAATACATGTCCAGATTATACACTCAATATGTGTCCACTTGAGGAGTGGACAGTCTTATAAAATTTAATTCAGACGTTCAGCTCTTGGTCCAACCAGTAGTCCATGAAAAATGCTGGTAAATTCTACAATTCTGTTTATGCTTTGGCACAGTCTGCTCTTTTTTTCCTCCCTATGGCCAAACATCATCTTGCCAAAGGCTTTTCTCCTGAATGAGTTGCAGCCAAATCAGTATTAAACTCAGAAATGGAGGAAAAACTGCTATTTTCCTCCAGAGAATGAGGCTTGTAAGAAGCTCATAATACAAATGGCTTTGACTGGAAAAGCATAGAAAAATCTCAGTTAACTACATGTGAGATCAATTAAAGGAAAGACATTAATGGGGAAGACATTCCTCTGATCAGTACAAAAAAATGGATTTTGATGAGAAAGAAATTTGAAAGCTAAAAATAGAAAAAAAGTAGATGAAAGGAGGAGCAGGGTGAGAGAACAAGAATGATAATAGAAAGCTAGAAAGAAATAGGATTTTCAAGCAAATTAAAGTAGAAATGCCTGGGTCACATTGTAGATAGCCCAGACAATGTGAAGACAGGTTTTTGAATTTGACGAAAAAGATTGAAAAACTACTGGTGGGATTTGGTGAATTGAAAGGTAAGAAGGTTAGAGGAAGAAGTACAGAGATCCTTGTCAGCAGCTCTTTCATATATTGAGAGGAAGATAGCAAGAAAGCAGTGACAGTGGTCTTTTCTGACAGTGTTCAGAAAAGACCACAGCAACTCTGTAAGAGGTAGTTTAGAGAGCAGCTTGCATACTCCAATGATTTCTTGCTTGTAGCACCGGTATCTGCAGGCACATTTGGCATCTTGCCTGAAGACTCACAGCTCAGAGAGATCCCAGCAGGAGCTGTGTGGCCCAAGTTCATCCTCTGGATGAGGGGAAGTTTTCTGGACAGAGCACTGTACATGTTTCAGCATACTGGAGATATTTAGCAGCGCAACTGCATATTTAACATGGGCTGTAAGAGACACAGATGCTCACCTGCTGTAAAATGTGTGCAGTCTTTAGGCTGAGAATGATGATACCACCAATCACACATACACAATCTGCAGATTGGAACAAACATGTCACGGAGAGGAACTCATCATTTCAATTTCCAAGAGAGCCAAGGGATTCAGAGTTGGTTTTACTTTGCTTTTTTTTTCATTTCTGAGAGCCAAAAAGGTTGCTCAGGGAAAGGAATGGGTGGCAGGCAGCTCTGGCTCTTGGCCGTTGCTGGCTAAGCACACTGCAGGAGAAGCAGTGACTGTTTTCCAGAGAAAAAACACTCTTGCAGCCCTCTGCCATGTTCTTGCCTTTTCCTTGATTGCAGATTGCATGGTTTCTGGCTTATTCTCCCCTGTTTTAAACAGCCACCTAAGAATGAAAGAAAAGCTCACCTGAAATACCCTGCTACATGAACCTTTATGTCGAAAATCTGTATTAATTCAGAGTTACTTACCTAGCAAAGAGACTGCATTTTCTGTAAGGAAAACCCTTCTCTCATGGAATTTCCTTTCCTTTCTTGGCCACAGTCAGCACTTCCAATGAAAGTGGCCTTTTGTGATGGAGCTCAGCTGTTTTTCATTGAACAATAAAATATTTCCAGTTAGCATAGTTATTGTTTGAATTTCTTCTACTCTTTTCATGATGTTGCTGGTTGCATTATTTATAGCCCTGTGGAAACAAAGAGATAGAATCCTCCTTTCTCAGTATGTCTCTCACACACATGCTAGGAACCAGCTTCCTAATTACTGAGTAAGGCTACTGCTAATGACAACATAATCAAAATGTAGAAATTCATTTTTCAAATGCATGAAAAAACACCATCTGCAGGCATCTTTTAAGTGAGACATTAAAAGCCTGACTCCGTCTGTTCTGTGGACATTAAAAATGTGTAAAAATGAGGGTTTTCCCTGGTGTGTTTGTCCAAAATCCCCCTTCTTCCCACAATTGCTCAGTCTGTTCAATTCAAATTATTCATAATATTACATCTAATTTTTCCTTCTTTAACTTCATGTCATTACTTCTCATCACATTCCTTCTCAGCTCTTAACTCTTTCCATATCTGAAACTCATTTAATTATGATTCAGTCAAGCTTGGTATGTTCAGTTCTTTGTTCACTATTTTTGCCAGTTTCCTCTCTCAGATTCCATTCTGATAATGTATTTTTGGCTACAGGATGCTCAGAGCATAATGAAATAGTTCCTGTCTCATCATACATGGAAAGGGACTCTCACTTCTCCCTCATATCTATATAGCCTAAAGGTAGTTCTCATCACTTCTTTTGCCATACTACATAACAAATAAATGAGAGGTAAAGTCGTGTCTAGTTCGCTATATATTATCACCTCTAGATTTCTCTGTTATCTTCAGTTTCAAGGCTGCACCCTGACCTTTCCCTTCATCTGAACTTTTCCCATCTGAACTCATTCACTTTTTGTATATGTGCTTACATTTTATCTTAAGAAGCCCTTGATCTATTTCCAGCCTGTATATTTTCTCCCAAGGCCTTTATTAGTAGCAATTTTCTTTGGGAACCAGTTGTATTTTAACATTTTTTTTTTTTCTCACTGGTATTTTTAGTTCTCACAAATTAGTATAATCTGCAAATTTCGTTAGTAAATTTCTAAGACCAAGCCATCTGCCCATATTTCCCACTGGTTATTTTGTTATTGCCTAAAGCTTAGTGAACATTCAGTCACAGAACCATAGAATCACTAAGGTTGAAAAAGATTTCTATCATCTAGTTCTACCACCAACCCATCACACCATGCCCACTAACCACGTCCCTCAGTGCTACATCTACTTGTTGCTCAAACACATCCAGGGACAGTGACTCCATCACCATTCTCCTGGGCAGCCTGTTCCAGTGTGTCCGGAAATAACTTTTTTAATACTCAACCTGGAACACCTCCAGTGATACTGATGGTCCCAAGAGCTGTGCCAAGTGACATGGTACAGCTCCTGCATGACTGCAGCTCGGTTATATGCCTTGCACTGCAGTTCTGAGTAGGATAATTGAGAGGAAGAGTCAGGTCCTTGGTAAGAATAAGAGAAGTGTTTAGCTAAGCAGCAGCATCAAGAGTTCCAGGCTGCCCTGGCAATGAAAGCAATGCAACACAAGTACATTTTATTAACAGAAATGCCTACAGGGATAATTCTGCAGCTACCAAAACTCTGAGCAGCCCGTTTCAGTGCTTCTCTTTTAATGGCACGAAATTTCTCTCTCATTAGAAATGCTTTCCAACCCTTTCAGACTACAGATTGAATTTAGGAAGAATTTTGCACAACACACTCAAAAAATTTCTCTGTCCGGTGGTGAACGTTCCATAATCAAAAAGAAAAACAAGTAGAGACTTTTTTGCTCATGTACAAAAACTACTTTTTCCATGCAGTGCTTTGGCTTCCAACCAGCATACCAACAACTACTGAAATTCTGGATTCTATTTGTTTTAACTGCAACTATAAATACGCCATACCCCAGAAAATACAAATAGTCTATAATCTAGTAACTAATATGTTAAGGTATCCTTATTAATGAATGTCTTTTTTAATAGCTGCAATTAATTATTCTGATGGCAACATGCTTTCCCACCTCCTGTAAATTAGGACGTTTCATCCCTAATGGCTTGGAGCTGCCAGTAAGAGATTAGCACTCCTGAGCTCAGGAACTGCCTTCAGGCTGCAGTTCCAGCCACAAGAGAGGAAGAAAAAAAACCACCCCTCCTGTACCTGGGCTCAGTGAACCACAAGGCATAGAATAATTCCCTGAAAAAGACAGGGAGGTCTATATTTTCTGACACATGAACATCAGCACGAACATCTCCTACCTCCCTTGGGGAAAAAAACCCTGGTTTCTGTTTGTGTAGCAACTTATGACAAAAATAATACCTCGCTGAACTTTTAAAGATGGCAGTATCATCCAATAAGCATTGTTATGAGTTTGCAATATTTTTTTAGATCTACTAAATTCTATTAAGTCATGGTTGTAAAACCTGCTAAAACTTTCTTAGTAAGGCAGATGCATATGGAAAAAAAAAATGCAAGGCTATAATATATAACAAATATCTCCCACATTCTGACAGATATTTCTACCATAATTTGTGTATTGAACATCCTTGGAAAAACAGATGGAAAATTGAAAGCTGTTAAATTAAAATTGAAAGCCTCTCAAGATGAGAGGAACAGAGATGCTGGCTCTTCTTCTCCTTATGTCACCTCTGCCTCTCCAGGAATCTCTGTGGTGACAAAGAATCCCCTACTAAAGGCCCTTCAGTACAGCCCCAATCTTCTACCTCCACCTCTGCCAAGTGGGTCAGGTTCACATCATGATGAGAGAGCAGAGTTCACCAAGTTTGCCAGCAGCAGCAGAAATCATATCTGGGACAAACTCCCAGATCACCAGAGGGAAATAACTTCTTATGTGGGAGATGTGTTTACATTGAATGATAAGGGACAGAGAGCAAAAAGGAATATCTACTTCTGTTTAGTGAAAGGACAGCTCCTTTAAATGCAAGTCAGAGAAAAAAAAGAAAAAAAAAGAAAAAGGTATATTTGTTCGTAAGTAAGTCCAACCCTGCATCCATAAGCTATTTAAGGTCACTACAGAACCCAAGGTCATGTGGGAAACCTATATCAAATGAGAACTCATGATCAGTATCAGAATAGATTTTCACACCAAGCTTGCGTGACAGCTGTGGTAATATCTATGCCACTTATCAAAAGAAGCCACCTAAGAACTAGAAAAGATACTACACTGAGTGGCAGTCATGAGAAACCAGTGAAAGCAGCCTTTCCATGGGTTTGTGTCAGGTAGGTGAGGACATGCTTTCAATTGCGAAGTTCTTCTCCCAAAGTTCAGAAAGCACCCTTCCAGCAGACATCACATTATCTGATGACTTGTTAACAGTTCAGGCTGTAGCTTTTTCTGTCAGGAGAATGGTAGGCATTCCCTAATCTGTCCAGCTACCTATCTACCACCTATCTAGTAGGTGATCCTAAGCGGGGTAGAAGCAGCCCACAGCACAGACATTTCAATGCATTTGCATAGGTAAATGAAAAATGGAGTAGTGGGTTGAGGGGACTAGAATATGTTTTCAGAATATTTCCTTTCCTCAACCTTAAAGGAAATTGTACATAAAAAGGGAATCATGGAAATTAATATCATGTTTGCCTCTCATATTTTCTCCTGTCCCACTGGCACCGGCATATATTATTCAGCAAGTTTCTAAATATTTGTACATTCTCTATCTTATTTGTTATAGAGAAGAAAGGTAGTTAATAGATTTTAGGCTTCGGATGTCAAAAAATTAAAAATAGCTTTTCAAAATACTATGGCTTTCACATCAGGCTTCATTGTGCTGACCCACACAGGCAGAAAATATCATCTCTGGATGAGCAGCAACATCTCCAGTTAACAGCAGCAATCTCCAGTTAACACAGGATGAAGTAGCCACTTCTTAACCATGTCTTCTAAACAACTTCCACGACAGTTATGTGCCAAAAGTACTGTAAATTACATGAGTTTTTCCTCTTCTAAACAAAAATCATATTATCCAAACATGGTTTTGTAGTTAGCTTAAGCCAATCCAAAGTCCTACTAAGGGGAAAGAGCTTCTCACTCTTCTCCTAAACCTAAGCTACAGGGCAGCAGTACAAGCATCATCATTCTCATGGTGTTGTGCCATGATCCACAGCAGCTCAGATCCAGCTAAGAATCAAATCCAAAATCTATTCTCCCACCCAATTTTTTCATCTAGATCAAGTCAAATTTGCTGTCTGCATCTTCATGCAATCAGGTAAACACTTGTATCCAAACAAACAAGAGCATGGGGACAAGAAGGAGAAAATAGGGGGTATTACTCCGCTTGGCAATACCACCTTTGACTGGCTAAACCCAAATTCTTGTTGGCAAGTTTATTAACTTAAGATGAGACCTAAGTGACTATTCAGCACTGAATAGGCTGAATTCTAACTTCATCCCAATTTTTGCCTTTCTCACTCTTCTATACTGTGGCTACGATCCTCCAGTTCCTGTGACTGAATCACTGCTATATGCACAGAACAGTAATTCCCATGAATGTATCTGATTCCAGTACAGAGATAAGAGGAGCAGTTAATTGATTTTGTTTACCAGGCCACTTTTGAAGTGGTTAGTGGGAATTTCCATTTTCCTTCTTCGTATTCCCATAGAAGAACAAAGAACAATCAAAAGTCTACATTCAAAAAGACTACAATTATCAAAGCTAGTTTCAGAAAAAAAAAACTGCCTTGGTGGTGTTCAGTGACTTTTAGTTGGTTCATACTGAGTCTATCCATCCTAATAAAAAAAATAAAAAAAATAAAAAGGTAGTTTTTATTATAGGCTGCCTAAAATAATTTGACTACTTTGGGCCAACCTGGGAGTTAGGTTGGAAGAGCAGCTGAAAGGCAGCCCAGGGCTGAAGCTACACTGCCCAAATTAAAATCCACACTGCAAGACTGTCCACACTGTTCTACCCTGTGGTTGGAACTTACTTCTTCTGTTGTATTTTAGTGTAAATAAGATATACTCCCTGCAGGCAGCCCTTGTCCTAGACTGTATCATATGAAAGACTTTATATCTCTTACTATAATTTGACCTCTCTTAATATGATTTTCCACTTGAAAGTCTTAATTTTAGATCCCTTTTCATCTTTATCTTGTATGAACTACATTGGCCCATTGAGATAGAGATAAAACTGTAAAACATACTTGTTTTTAAAATTTTATTGTTTAAGCAACTAAGATGGGAAGGAAAAAAAAAAAAGTGATAGAAATTGTACACAGGTACCTGCTTTCTTTGCACACCCATGTTTAGCTGATAGGAATCTGCAATGTCCTGCTGTAGCAGCAGGGTAGCACAAGGCAGAGGTTAAGTAGCCACCAGCATCTGTTCCAGTCTTTGGTAGGCTCTGCACATTCTGGTGGGAAGAGCATGTTCCCTCCTGGTTAAAACAAACACATGAAGCCATCAGCCAGAAGCATTCAGGTGACTTTTCACCAGCAGGCTGACACTCCTGTAGCATTACCAGCACAACAGAACATTCATCAGAACAGTGAAACGTTCTAATTTCAGGATGTCAGTAATAACGCATATAGGACTTTCACTGCTCTTGAAGGACGACCAAAGCTTTCATATGTCTCATTCCCACAGTGTCTAAGAGGCACTCAAACCAAGAGGAGATGTCATGTTTTGATGATTAATTCTCACTATTGAAGCTGAAGGAATACTCTCAGAAGGATTGTGATTATTTGCTGTAACTCAGTTTTGCTCAGTGCTTTGCCTAGAACTGGGAGAAACACATAGGCAGGCACTTAATGTTTGTGATAACCAGACACCAATGCAACATTTCCTGGAAAAGATTATTTTTGTGTGGGTAGAAATTTGGATTTGTACATGCACATTTACTGCTTACAATACTGACTGAAAGGAGAATAAGCAGAAACATTTGCTTAGATGACGAAACGTCAAATTTTCCAGAAACTGTTCAGCACAGTCTTAGAAAAAAAAGGCAACTTTGTATGACTAGATACAGATATTTACTAAATCTATTTTCAGGCTAGGAGATACAGCGAATGCAATCAATCTCCATAGATTGGAGGGCTTTTACCTTATTCCTGTAGAACTCACCTGCACTTGGTCAGATTAATCACATCTTAAACTCAGTTGATCATGCTAACCAGATTTCCCAACTGTCAGACAGTTAGATAATTAGCTCAGATGCAGACACATACAATTAAAGTTTGCAAGATGAATATTTATGTTTTCAATTATTTTCAAACTTGAACTGCCAAAGTGCTTTCTTATCTTTTAGGGTCATTTATTCTGTTTTTGTTTTTCTTGCTGTAACACTACTTGAAAGAAGACTTTCTAAAATGCTCTCCTCTGAGGCTTTCCTAGTTCAGCATCATACACATTTGGCCATTCAAGACAGAGTATGGGAAAGACTACACAGGAGTTCAGTAATTTACTCCTAATGCCAAGGTTAAATACCCCTTCAGACCAAAAGAAACCTCTGTTATGCTTTGAGAAAGGCTGTAAAGAGAATATGAATTGCAATGCACACAGTTCAAAGAGAGCACAATTCTGTTCCATCACAAATTATACTGTTCTTTGGATTTCTTTGGTCCTACAAAAGAGACTACATATTACAATCAATCTGCAGTGCCCATCTTCACTTAGTGAAGCTAAAATCTACCTTCAGGCTCAGCAAAATGGATAAGGAGACACTCCTACAGTTTAAAGACATGAAGTCAATAAAGACAGAAAAGAGAATGGGAAAAGAAATAAAACTGCACAAGAAAAGTATAACAGTAATAATGTAGGAATGCCGCACAGGCAGATGGCTTGAAAATGAAAATCCAGAATTAGGATTAGTTAGTTTTGCCAGATACTTCAGGGGCATCAATGCATTTCATTATTTATTGTTTAATGTTTATCATTCTAACAATCTTACTTTGGAGTAGGCACAACCTTTTATCGATTATCTGTGGAGAATCTAGCACCTGGGAGCAATTAGGATGAGGCTTATGATTTTGGGTGCAATGTAAACCTTAAATAGTGATAGCTTAAAACTTGAAATTCTGCACTGGCAGTTCCAAGGCAGCTCATCAGAGCCCTACGGGAACTGTCCGGGCACATGGCCCATCCTCCTGCTTACCCGTCTGCTTCCTCAGATGAGTCTATTAAACAAGATGAGATGGACCATTAAGTGAGTGCTCAGTAATTTAACAGCTCTACCCAGCAAGGTTACTTACAGAGTCTGATTCACTTCATATATTTTAAAGATGGATTAGGTATTTTGATTTTGTTTTCTCTGTGTGATTTTATCAAACCACAGGGTTCCTACTGCAACTGTTCTTTAAAGATTTATTCTTGCTGGCTTTAAATGCTCCTCTGTAGCGTTGCCCCAGTGTATTCCAACCACCCCCATGTTCTGGGAGAAAAGAATTCTGCAAGATATTTTATTTTCCTGAGTTAATTTAATGGGCAGCATCATTTGTTTCTCTTAAAGTATTCTTATACAGTCTGACATTTGCAAGAAGATCAAGAAATTCACATGACAAATGGAGGTCAACCCATTAGAAATGGAGCCCAATTATCCACTAGACTAAATGGCTAAATCTAAATCAAAGAAATTGCATGGGGGGTAATTTCAAATCCTTCTGAAAACTTTTCACACTAATTGTAGACAGAGTGTTAGATGAAACTAAAATTGGTTGGTCTGAAATTTAGCTCCCAGAATTTGTCAAAACAAAAAAAGCGATCTATTTATTCAAGGCAGAACTCGAATTTACTCAACTGTGAGTACATTATAAAAACTATTTCTAGAGTCAGCCTTAAGAACAGAAAGCTCTGAATTTCTCAGACTCATCTTCCCCAGACAGATCTGAAGTTGCAGCCAAATTCAGAATTATACCTTCAGTCAACTCGAGCCACTGTTTCTCAGTGACTATTGCCCACCTTATTTGGACTCTCTTAAATGAAGATGAAGCCAGAAATGACTCTTCGTTAAATGGCTCATACTGCTAACATGTTTAAATTTAAAAATATCATAGTCATGGAATGACTTGGGTTGGAAGGAACCTCAAGAACCATCAAATTCCAGTCCCCCCACTGCAGGCAGGGCCGCCAACCTCCACATTTAATACTAGACCAGGCTGCCCAGGGCCCCATCCAATCTGGCCTTGAACACCTCTACGGATGGGGCATCCACAGCCTCTCTGGGCAGCCTGTTCCAGCACCTCAGCACACTCAAAGTAAAGAACTTCCCCCTGACATCCAACCTTAATTTTCCCTCCTTCAACTTAAAACCATTTCTCCTTGTCCTGCTACTATCTACCCTTTCAAAGAGTTGACTCCCCTTCTGTTTATAGGCTCCCTTTAGGTACCGAAAGTCTGCAGTGCTTGCAGGATTGCTCTGCACATTTGCATTATCACCAATATATTGAAAATAAGCCAATTATTTTTTGAAATAACTTAAAGGTTTATCTAACTCTTGTCAGCTTTAAGCTGATAAAAGAGGGAGATAGAGGAAGAAAGTTCCCTGGAGTTCAAAACAAAGTTCCAAGAGGCATCTTTCATCTAGGAGATGAGGCAGGAGGAAGTTTCACCTAAGCAGAGGCAAAAGTTTGATTTTCCCATCCATTTTTGACAGTCAAAGCCACAGAAGGAGGAACTTTCTGAAACTGAATACATTACATTCATAACAGAGAAGACACATTCACGTATTCTCATTCCTCATTTCATGGCTAAGTACAGCTTCTTTCCAGAGTTGTCTTTAGCTTTAAAAAAACTGCACACACTCCTGAAAAAGCTATGTGCATTTTGACCATGTCCACTCAATAACTAAAAGCTGTTCCCATCCTTGTTATAGCAAGCATATCTCTAACAATAGTTATTTGATCAATCTCCTTTCTTTGTCACTTTTGCTTCCTTTCTCACCAGCCACAGGTACATTTCTCTATACCACATCTTACAGCACTGACAGCCTTACATCTGTAAAAATGAAGTCTACCTGCAAGACTCTGTTGCTTGTCCTGCTTCAGAAGCAGCACCACTAATTACCTGGGTCTGATTTATCACCTGCTTCTGTTCTGTGCCTGCCCATAGCTCCCAGCTAGTAGGAGGGGAGAGGAATAGGGACAAGAAATGTTGAAGTACTGCTGAGGCTACAAAACACTGCTCCCACAAACACCTCGCGAACCAATACGAACAGGGCTTGTGTGGGGAATAAAACATTAGGAGAAGCCAAATTGCTGTATACATACCAACCTATAAATCTTGGCAAAGAATTTTTCGCAGTTCCAGGAATGCATGTAAATAAATGCAGCTGTACAGTAAAACCGTACCCTACTGGGAGGGAAAAAATTTATCCACGCGGGGGAAAACCAAAATATGTAACTCTATCTTTACAGTATAGTACCTGCTTTATAGCAAGACTTCTGCAGAGATTTGTTTCTTGTCCTCACCAAGGGACTGCAGGAGGTTTGCCGCTGTGAAAGGCTTCCCCTGGCGCTGAGCTTCCAGCTGTTCTGTGGGTGAGGGGAATGTGCTCAGAAGAACTGAATGAAGACATTTAGTGCCCTTCAGTTCCTTTCTTCTTTTCTTCTGTGGAATGGCTCAAAGTGAAAATAAGCCGACTTTGGGTAGAAACAGTGAAATATTATCGTTCATCCAAGATGCGATTTGTTAAGTGAATCAGAAATCACGTTTTCTTTAGGAGCAAACTAACAGCCAGAATAACACTACTAACTATTATTTATTTTTTGTTTCAATATGACCTAGTTTATTATTGATTTTTTTTCAGCATTGAAACCTTGATTGGTTTGGTTCTGTTTTTCATTTTTTAGACCAAATCAATTTACTGTTTTAGGCAATTTAACACCACGTTTTCAAAAGCAGAAGTGTTTTTCCTAATGAAATGTTTTGCCCAAATACTAATCAACTGCAACTCTGTGCTCTCGACTGCTGAGTTGATCGTTTGTACTATGATATATGTTTATGGCTGTATTTCTTCTGGTAAGCAGATATTTGCTGAGCTCTTTCACATAGGGATATACATAACCACACTCCTGCATTATTCTCTACTGACAGTCCCATAGGAATGAGATGCAGTACTGGAGGAACTAAAATGGTGCACCCATCAGTGAGAGGAGGATGTCAGCTTGGTAGTATCTGTCTGCTTGCCATGCAGCATCTCCATGCCCTTTCTCAAAAGCAAAATGGCAAATGCAGAAGTTGTACCACACTTGGTTCTTTCATTTGAGCTTCAAAAGACTCCTTTCAAAATGTTTCTGTCAACATCTATACATTCATGCAACAAGGAGAGGCACTATCTTCTTTAGAGCTAGTAATATGGAAAAGGTGAGGTGACCAGGCTACCTTAAAGTAACCAGTCATTCTCTCTCTCAGATTTCTTTTTCTCCTTCCTTCTTGATTTTTACTAGTATAATGAATTACAGTACTATTTTAATAAAAAATATTACAACATCATGGTTGAACTTTAAAAGCAACTGTGAGCCTTTGTCTTGTCAGCTTACATCATATTAGAGCAGTCCACTTCCCATATCCTATCACTGTCCAGTTCTTTTC